ATCTAAAATTTAAATACTAATAACTTATAGCTGATTATTTTTAACAACTAGTTTTTGATTTCAATTTTAAGTATAAAGAATTAAAAAAAATAATATTTTGACTCAGGGTATGAAATTAAAAATTTACAGTGCAATCAAAAAGACAAAAATTATTCTTGAGAATGTATTCATGAAGAATAAAATAAATATAAAATAATATGAAAATGTATTTTTAAAAACCTTAAAACTTTTTGAGAAAATTTTTTGTTAAAATAATCACCTTGTGTAGTACCTATGTAGTATGTTTATATAGGTACATTATTTACTCCAGCTTTACCAAATTATTACCTTTGCTAGACGCCTTAAAAATAGTAAAATTATTGGTCACAGACCCTTTAATAAAAATAAAAAAACAATAATAAGTAATAATAATAACTTTATTGTTTTATTTTCTTAACTAAATGTAAGTATTTTTATAGTATAAAATTTATTTAAATAAGAAAAATAAATGGATAAATATATACGTAACATGTAAAATAAGTAAAAAAAAAAAGTTCAATGTGATGGATGGTGTTGTTTTTTCGATATTGAATCGGTTATATTAAGGTTAATAGATATTTTGATATTTGTAAATATTTATTATTAGTATATACATTAATAGAAAATCCTTTTTCATAGAAATACATTGTTTAAAAAAAACATCGATTGTCTTATTGCTGCTTCTAATATTTCTTGATGGTTTTGTCTTAAATTTGACATTGTACTTATATTTATTAGTATATTTTTCAGTGTGGTACAAATATTACATTGGTATTTTTGTTTTTAAACATAATATTTTCAATTGATGTTTACGGACCCTTTCTAGTATACATAAGAATCCCTATGGGTCTGTGGACCACAGTTTGGCAAATGTTGATTTAGTTGACGACACAAAACTTAAATTGAAAATAATAAAGTGTAAAATTATTGCCATATATAGTTCCTTATATAGCCATACATCATGTATTATTATATTATAAATGTATTAAATTTCTAAATTCTATTTTAGTTTAATATCCTTGTATAAAACTGAATTTTGAATAATGATCTATTTTAATTGAATAAATAAAATTGCTAATGAATATAAATAGGTAGATAAATAAAATGCCTAATTTAAATCATTTATTAAGTAAAATATTTAAGTTTAATAACTGTAAATTTGTGTAAATCAAAAGTAACTGTTTACACTTTAAATTATACCTATATAGGTTAGTATTTATATATATGTATATACGTTACAATAATTTTGTTTACATGCATTTTTCATATAAAAAAAAAAAAGCATCGGTAATTAAATATTACTTAAGTTTTATATTATATTATTAGATTTATTTTTACGAAGAAGTTTTCTTAAAATATAAAAAAAACTTACGTTAATTTATTTAAAACATATTTTATAGTTTTTTTTTTATTATTTATCCATTAAAAACTAAAAATCTTACAAGATTAATCCTCAGAGAAATTTTTGTTGAGCATTACAATTATCAATTTAATAGGTACGGTGACTTATTATTTTACAAAACAATTTAAAATTAACATTTAACTCTTATTAGGTCGTAGCCGGTAGGTAATTGAAGTTTTTCGCAATTTTGAACTATGCAATGTTTTATAAATTATAAGCGATATGAATTGTAATTTATGTATCCGATTTAATTGCTCTACCGTAAGATTTAATTACTTAAACACATTATTTAACAGTCCAAAATATTTATATTTACTTAATGGTATTACATGTTGATCAATTTCAATTAATAATGTGTTGAATTAAAAACGGGAAAGCACATATAGGGATTGTTTTCTAGTGACCGTTAAAACAAAGTATAATAATAATAAAAATCCATTTACTACGTCAGCAATAATGGCTGAGTAGTTTTATAATTGTTTATTATGCACGATTTATTTTGATAATAAACACTATGGTTGTATTTGATTTTGTTTATGGTCAACATGCATTAAAAAGTAGAGTAATTTTATATCAATCTGTTGAAAATATGTTCGATAATCTTCCCCTCGTGGTACCTACACTTAATTTATGTTAGTGTCTGATGGTGTGGAAAATGTTATGCACATTTTTAATTTTTCAGTTAAATTATCATAGTCGGTAATTTTTCGTTTTATTATATATATGATATGCTATAGTATATGATGAACATAATTTACATACACGATCTGTATGTTGTATGTATTATGTAGGTATTTAATATTTTGAAACATATTGAAAATATTTAATTAATATTAAAAGGTAGGTAATGTATAATAGGTACTGTTATATAACAGAATAAACTCAAATAAGAATGTTTAAATTTACTTCCTATATTATGTATTCAAATTAGATAATAATACAATTATTAAAACTATCAGTAAGCAAATTATAGGTTAAAATTGTATTATAGTAACTATATATAGTTTGAAAATTCATTAGTAAAGCGTACCTATTTGGTTAAATTACTAACAGTGGACATAAAAGTAAATTACATGATAAAAATAACTGTAACTTTTATAATCCTATTTTTGCCTTATTTTATTAGACAATACAAGTAGGTAATGACAAGTGATGACGATGTGTACTTAATTAATTATTAAAAGCTATAATAGTGTAATGTAATTAAGACATTTTTACACTTAGGCATCTACTACAATTTATAAAATTTTAAAGATATTAAAGATAACCCACCTATTAATATTATTTTGGTACCTTTAAATAATTCATAGAATAAATAACGATTATTAATAAATTACAGTTATTTTGAACACGCAAAAATAAAATAAGGTACGTTAAATATCGTTTCTACATGTATAATTAATAATTTATTTTATATTTAATTATCTAAGAAATATTTTGATTATGTCAAAGCAAAAATTGCAATTTGCCGCCATCATCCACGAAATGTCTAAAGAATTGTCTTTACTGCCAAACGGTGTCAAAATAAGTGAATAATGGAAAATAGAAATAAGAACGTGAGAATTTTCCTGGAAAGCATTTCCTTCGTGTTTGTATAACTGAACAGAATAATAATTATTCTTTTTCGGAGAAAAATGTATTTTTGTACTGATTTTTATAAAGTTCAACGTTTATATTGTAGAAAATACCGCAAAAGTAGGTAAATATTTATTTCTGTTTATTCTTTAGAAAAAAAAACAAATTCCTTATTTTGATCATTAGTTCAGTTGACTGTTAAAAAAATCCTTCCACTCTCTCACCCTTTAACAATAGGCAATATATACATTATACAATGAGATCAAGAGCAATGGTTTCTGTGCGTAATACACCAACACCATAGTGTAACCAAAACGTTCTTAATATATACATTTTTTAATTGGAGTTGTCAGCTTTATCTATTGTCAAAAAAACATATTATTTGTTGTCTGTGTGTTATTTTGCATTGAAAGTGTGTATTTTTCACATTTACTCTATATACACCTGATATAAAATTGTGTTCTGTGATTGCATGATTAACGCCAATCGGTACATTATGTTATTGTCTTTTTAAATAAATATCACACTGTTTAATGTTAATAATAAAATATTATGTTATCACATGCTGTACTTATATTATATTATATAGTGTATAACATGAATCATAAATGTTTTAGATAGATATTGTTTTAAACATAATCGCTGTTTTTAACCGTTAATTGTGAAAGATTGTACTTAAACATAATAATAAGTCAAGTATTTTTTTCGTGTTACCGAGATTCCTGGTGCATATGACTCTATAAGTTCTTAAAAGTTCAGTATTCTACAGGCCAAAACCTAATATTATATTCAAATGACTACTTTTTTGCAAGTTAACGTGTATTTCAAAAGGAACTATAGTTTTAAAGTAATAAAAATTGATCACTGGAAAGTGTAAAATACGTGCTGGTTGAAAAAAAAATTAAAAATAGTCTTAACAATTTTGTGTATTAGGTATGTATGTATAACTTGTAAATGTTAGATTCCTTAGTATATTATACGAATTTTACAATAATTAAAGCCAGGTTAAGGCTATTAGTGCCATAAGAATATTTAAAATAAAGGTCTTATAAAAAAATATATACATAATTCGTGATAACGTACATATTTAAATTTTAATATTATGTATTCTCGTAATAATTTCGTTTCTCAAAAATCTGTGAAATAATACAAACAAAATATTATTTTTCTAATTCAATTTTAATGTTGTTGGTATATATATTTTTAAATATTCGCTAGGTACCTAAGAGATTTAGTAATTATTGCTTATTTCGTCTTGATCTTAATTTTGTAGTCCAATCGATAGCTAATAAAATAGAATAGAATATTATCATACTAAATATTTAATCCATCATTTGACTAGGTATTTGAGTAAATACATGCGCACATAAAAAAAAAGAAAACACACACAAATGATTCTACATCAATTTAAAAATAATATTATATAGGTACCTCTCTTTACATGATCTAAAAATACCGCGCGCGCTTTTTGTGAGCGCCAGTCGCGCTGGAACTGCAGCGGTAGCGTTGTCTCTGTCGCGTTCGTATTTCAGCGATTGTCCGGAACGCGACGACACCATATATCATCATCATCATCATCATCATCATATTATTATTATTATTATTATTGTTATTTTTTTCTGACAAAATAATGTTTATGCAAACATTTATAATCGCGTGAGGCCTACACATTCCTCGGTGTATTTGGTTCACGCACACACAAATGCGTGTATGTATATATAGTAGTAATAATGATAATAATAATAATAATAATAATCCAATAATGTGCCTAGACAGACACGGCGACCTATTCACGACAAATGATGGTGGTGGTGGTGGCGGTTGCGGTGTCGAGTACGGTGATGGCGGGGTATAGAGGGAAGAGGGGTCGTCTATTTCGTTATTAAACTATATACTGCGATACTGCAATACAGTCATGTATAATATTGTTATAATATTATGACGAAATCGCGAGCGCGGGTTTAGCAGCCGACGAGGGTTTTCGCAGTGGCTACGCGGCGGTTATTGCGATTTTTACACACCATTCGCCGCCGTCTCGCCGATCGGCGGTTGTCGCTGTCGTCTCCGCATTAGTCCGCTGCTGCAGCCCGTGCATATTATAATACATCATATTATTATCAATTGTTATTTCTTTCGTGGGACGCGAGCTGCTCGAACTCAAGTCCCGACTACACGTACACCACCCCTCCGCCGTCGTACGCCTCCGTCAGAGCAACCCCTTAAAACGAACCGCACGCCGAGTGACTTCCGATATTATATCACTATTGTCATACGAGTATATATGGTATGTATATTATTATACAGGCCCGTCGTATACTTACGAGTTAGATTGCTGCACGTTGGTCTACATTATAATATATAGGTATATTCGCCCGTAGTGAAAACTTACATTCGCTGCCGTCGTTTGACCGTATAACTGCAGTCACGTGCCTCACCGTCATACCTAGTGCATTCCGATCCGTGCTTCGAGTCGAATTTCAAACCATTTCATCGACATGACGTCGACGAGAACGCGTAACAACGACACTTCCTAATCGGTGGCGTATATATATATATATATATATACCTACCACAGTCGTCGTGTTCATTTCGATATAAATTTATGCCAGAGATCGTCAGGTAAGAACTGTCTTTGATAAATATTAACGAATTTATTTGTTTTAAACGGGTGATCACAACTTAAACCGTATCATTGTACCCAATAATTAATATCGTTATTAACGCGTATTAAACTTTTTTTTTATGAAAATTATGTATGCAATTTCAATCGAAATAAAAGTTAATGCTTAGGTATATTCCATACAGTAAAAACATCCATTTTCATGAGTATTTAAATAGTAGTTATAGCTTATGTAGTTTGTTAAAATTACTGGGACGGTTTTAAAAACAAAAACGTTAAGGGTGAAACCCAATTGCGTGTGTTCTAATTTGAAATGACTATATTATACGGTCGTGAAATCTGATAATATTATATTTAATACAAGATTTAAAAAAATAAAATAAAAATATTTTAGAAATTTAATGCATCAAAATGTGTTAATAAATCTGAAAATGTATTTAATAATTATTCTTATTAGTTAATATATTTTATTATGCTCGTAATACCATACACCTTGACTTTCGCATTACATTTGTATATAAGTATATTTGACATGCAATACAATTAGTATTAGTACTCAATTAGTACTTGTTAATATCGAGTTTCGGGTTTAATTCACCTCCATTAGTTCACAAGTTCGTTTATTGCTTTATCATCAAAATAGGTATAATTAGGAACCTATCTGTTATTATCGTTATTGATTCATTTTGTACATATGGTTATAGTTTTATTCCATAGGTATATAATTTAATTTTTTTTTATTTGATTTCATAATACTATAATTACCTACAGTCTACGTATAGTGAAAGAAAAATGCAAAACCATAACTATTTATGGTTTGATTATGGTTTTCGCTTTTATGAATACAATTTTAATAATAACAAAAAAAAAATAATTATTATAATTTTGATTTAAATAAAAACAATAGAAATAATTATGTACAGGTAAACTAAAACAAAGCGCTGTATACATTTTTAATCTATTACTTGAATCATATACTAGATAAATCTTATTTCATCTTGTAACATAAGAATAATAAAAAATATCGTGATTACTTTTTTATATCTTATATAACAACGATAAGTAAATACAACTTATGTGTTATTTATAGTAAAATATTTTCATGTAAAGTGTTTTGATTAATTAAATAATTATGAACTATTTCATCGTAAGTGCAATGTTCTGAAAGGATCTGATTATTTTAAAATTTGATCGGTTTTACTTTGTAAATATCAAAAAAAATAATACAATTTATTGTCGTTTGAGAATATTTATCTGTTAAAAAATAACAATCTTTTTTAAAATAATGTTTTCTAACAAATGAAAAATCCTCATCATAATTTAGTTCAATTTCCGTGGTAAATATATATATATATATATTAAAAATCAAATATTGAGATTCTTAATTTTATATTTTTTATAAATGTTAAAATTATTATTCTAGGTAATGTTAATGTATTCAAAGTTGATATCAAGTAATTGGAATCGACCTGTGTTTAAACATGTATTAATTATTTATTATTTTAAAAACTTTTAAATTCAAAACACCATTGTTTAATTTTTCAGTATATTTCTTAATTAATTATAATGATTAACTAAGTTAATTTTCTTAGATATATTTTGTATAACAAACTAAACTGCATATTTATGGTAAATCATATATAATCAAGTTATTTTATAAGAATAATTAGTTAATTACCTAGATTTTAAATAAATTCTTACAATTTAATCATTTTATAAGTGGTTATAATTGCTTTAGTTATATGGTTGAGTGAACTTATTTTAATACCCATTTTAGGCAAAATTTCAATGCTTTCATGTCATTTATATTCGATTTCAAGATAATTACCCACCCTAGGTCGAGTAATAGCACTTGAGAAAGGTGACTTTTATGGCTTCACTATGTACGTAATACAAGTAAATTAAGAATAAAACAAATTGATTCATTAAGTACGTTTTTCTTTTTATTATTTGTTGTATTTGGGTAGAGCTTTTGACTTTTTAATGTTTTTAAGTTTGTATTGTTTAATGACGCGAAGTTATTTTTTTATCTGACTAGTCTTGCAGCATACAATAATGATATCACCGGTCTTTTTAAATCTAAGGTTGGTTTGCTCACTAATGACTGTATCATAAATACTTTTAATAGAGTAACTTTTTAATGCAATTTTAGTCATTCAAATCCTTGTATTGTAGTTTACATAGATGAATTTTAATAAAGTGTTGAGAAGCAGTTTTATGTATTATATTATTTATCCATAATTAAGTTTAATTTACATTTTTTAATTAGATAGAAGTTCATAATTTGACAAAATTTAATATTCAAATTTTTAGTTGTTATTTGAGAAATATTAATTATATAAATTTGAAACGTTTTGCTATTATACAATATTATTAATATTATTTTTTATAAATAAAAAAAATCTCCAACGAACATTACAGTATCATACATAATTATTTTATTATATTATTTTTATATATTATATTTTATTTTTTATTATTATATATATATTTTATTTAAAGTATTGATAAATTTCTTGAATAACAACGAATTTGTGGTTGAAGTTAAACATCAATTTGAAATAATTATGTTACACTATGTATATTATACTTACTTTTACGTATTATATATTGACAATGAATACATTTTTTCTTTGTATCACCACACCTCTTATAAATATTACGTATCATCATAATTCCTCGTTGCATCAAACTATTATACTAATTTGTCTTACGTTTTAATAATAAACAATATAATATTAACTATATAATAATATATATCACGCATATTGGTAAATGCATAATAAATATTAGTTAATCGAATATTGATTATTAGTATTTAATAACATTATAATATAGTTAAAATTAATGATCTTAATTATTCTTTAATAAATTATTATTTTATCATAAATCAGACATGCTGTAATCAATAGGTACACATTGTTAGTAAATAGTTTGTATGGACGTGGTGTAGTCTGTATATTATACGATATAAATAATATATTTTGAAACTGTATGTTTTAGTAGAATCGATATATCCATGTAAAATATTTTTTCCCGGATATTAATTCAATAATCGTGTCGGGTAAATTGTAAGAACTAGAAGGTATTAGTGTTCGATAAAATGTATTTGATCGTTTTTTCGTATTAAATTTCATCAAAAATCAAATTTCAAAACCATTTAAAATTTAACTTTTCAAATTATAAATGTAAATCAGGATTGTTAAATACGCAATTATTTTTTTTAGGAGGGGGTGGCCACCAGGATCGTTGGACAATTTATATGTTTTTTCTTATTTATAAAACATAGAATGTAAAATCTCCAATTAAAGTATTACAACAAATTTGATTAAATGTAGATCAGGCAAGTATAAAGTCATACTTTAATACAGTAATAGAAGGGTTAAATAATTTAAAAAAAAAAATTTTTTTGTTTTGTATCGTAATTACGTCAGAGAGAAATATTCTTGGTATACATAATCTTATACATTACATTTCAGTAAGATGCGTGTAAAATTATTTTTTTAATAAGTTTTTTGTGGTTTGTGCGATCTACATATAATATTCTATTCTATATTTCTTAGCCCAATTTATACTCCACGCTTTTTTAGATGGTTTTGTAGTTTGTAACCATACTTTATTATAATATCTCTATCATATATTTAGTCAATGTTAACCTTTGTGAATACTAAATATAGAATTCTATGAATTATTACACAAAAGTAAATATATATATATGACAAGTAACAACTACACAGATATTTCGGGTGAGATTACATTAAAGAGCATATAGTATATTAGATATGTACATATTGAATTAATTTAGTTAATATAAATTTCAAAGATACCTATGTATAATTTAATACATTATTTTTAGGTCTAAAACGCTGGAAGGTAATGAAATATTGAAATTATTGATTTTATACTGTTATTGCGGATGCATCTACTAATTTATTAATTAGTTTTAATGTATTAATAATAAATTATATTTAATCAGTATAAATCTTTTAAGGCTTATAAAAAATTGTTATAATTTTAAAAGTGTCTATTGATAATTTATTAATATGTATATCTTTTATTCATATTGAATAAAATATCATGGATTATATAATTATATTGGATTATTATTATTGATAATACGAGTAGGTAGGTATATTAAAATTAAATTGTTGAAACTAAAAATTTACTCTTTAAAAACAAAGAAAATGAAAAGATTCATAGTACGTGTGGGCACATATGAATAGGTATTTTAAAAGATTTTATAACATTTCATTTTTTTTTTTTTTTGTTATAATTATAAAATACTTAGATAAAAATGAAAAACGTTAGAAGTATCTTAGGTTGTTATTTAAACAAAATACAAAAGAATTGTAATAGCTTATGTTTAAAAGGAATAAATTTCACATTTCCTCTCAACAGAATTTTTTTAAATTGCTTGATGTTTTCTTACAGACTACAGTGAAATTATAAATTCTATGTTTCTTTTAAATAATTTAATGTCTAAGTTACAATCAATAAAATGGTGAAATAAAAGTGCATTCCTTTTCCCATCTTTACTGAGAGAATTTTTTCTAAAGTATATACAATTGCTTTAAAATTTAATACAATGTAAATTCCTCATCTTAGGGACAATCTGGGATTATCAGATATATTTACAACCTTTTACATTAGAATAAATATCTGTCTGTACATATATTTGCATATTAAAATGAAGTTGAACAATATTTTGAAACTTGTTAAATAATATTTAGAATCGTCCAATTTATAATCATGTGAGTAAATTAAAAAAAAAAAATGGAATATTAGTAAAAAATAATATTTTCATTAAGTTCAGAAGTATTATATTTTTTTTCAATTAATTAAAGAAACCTATCTAAATTATTTAATATTGTGTAATAACAAGGTCGGAAGTACGTTTAAAAATTAAAATTAATTACAGTACATAATGATTGCAGTGTTCTGTGTATCCAATTAAAAAGTCAAAAGATTAATATTAATTAATCCGCCAATGTTTTTGTTT